GCTCCGGACAGCTCGCGTTTCAGCGGGAGGGGGGGACCGCGGGTGCCTTATACGTGCAAAGGCTAATACCTTTTTCAGCCCGGGATGGTCAACGAACCTGGGGCTCTCGCCCTTTCTCCTTCCCGCGAAGGTCCGCGCGGGTTTCTCGTTTGTACTTTCACGTACGGAACGTTAAGGTACATTTCCCGTCTGATTTACGGGCGATCTATAAATACAGGCGTATACGTCGGCGTGCGCGCGAATCAATGGGGAATACTACGTACATACGCGTGTGTTTGCTGCCTCCGTGGCTGCGAGGACGCCGGGATTTACACCACCTGCCTACCCTTGAAGAGTTTCGGAGTGTAACGGGAATACGCCGCTTTAATAATTCGCAAAATCTATTTTCGTACGATTATGACGCTCGCCTGGGGTTAACTCCAGTCGAGAAAGTCTTTATTCGTGCTTCTCCCCCCCCCCCCTCTCGACCCTTGCGAATGTAATTTTATCTATAGAAGGTAATAGCGGCGGGTAAATCGTAATAAGTCTGGCCCATTCGATCTAGATTATTTAAATATAACTCGCACACCCGCACGACAAGTAGTGATATGTTGTAATATCCAGAGACACGAAACTAATTGTTGAGTAACGTGTCATTTTATATCAATAATTTATTCAAATTGTTATTCGTATGTTAAAAATTGTGACTTTTACATACCGCATTGCGGCACTGGTATAGTTTTACAATTGCTTAAGTTGTTTAAATATAAATGTAAACTAATGCGTGAGCGTGGAGCTACAATTTTTAACTTTTATAGAACGGGAAAAGTCACTGTAATGGCGCTGAAATAATCATATTTTGAGACAAGAAATTACAATGAAATTAATGAATTAATCTGTAAAATTCTAGAAATAGATCTCGCCAGAAAGAACGATTTTGCTGAAGGGAAAAAATTTTTCTGAATACGAATCTGAAAATAATTTTGTTGAATCAAAATAATTGTGTCAGAAACTATGAGTGATGCTGTAAAAAAATGTGATATTTTATATAGCAATCAGTTTGAGTTTCCGATAAAATTATTTCGACGGTCTAACAAAATTATTTTTCAGATCTACATCCAGTAATATTTCATTCTTTCAACAAAATCATTCTTTTCGTGCGCCATTTAAAAATTAACAACTGGATAATAGTTTAAACGAATCATTGATATAACGACGCACTATTCAGATAAATAGTTTCGTGATTGTACTTTAGATAGGTATTTGAAAGAAATGTTCATAAATGAGAGATATAGAGGCGAGCTCTCCATCTTCCAGATCTAATGACAAAAAATTCCCTCGTAGATTTGGATAATTTTCGTAAGAATAGGGAGTTTTTGTAATACGTTTATCCACATGAGATACGGTGAGCACTAAAGTCAGGTTATCTTCTTCTTCGCAACTAATTAAGGAAGCGTTATCTTCTTCTTAACAATTAGTTAAGAAAAAGATAACTTTAGTTATTGCAAAAGCTCCCTATTTTTGCCGTTATGAAACCGGCGTAAAAACGCGAAACTCGAGATACGATCGCCGGTAAAATTCAACCGTTCTCTGATATGGAGAGGACTGTAGAGCTGACGTTGTTCAAGTAATCTCGACAACGCGTCGTCCTCGATCAACGAACTCGAAGGCGCGAATGAGCGCGACGTCGTCGTCATCGCGTTCGTCTGTTATCGCCTCTGTAATAATTTAGGATTTATCGACTTTTTTTCCACCGTCGAGGCGCGAATGCGTCGATACGCATAAGGCGAGACTCTCCTATCTTTTTTTTTTTTTTTTATGAGATCGATTTTAAATAGTCTGGCATTGAGCCGTTCGACCACTCGCTTTTAAAACCAGATGCTGTTTCTAGATCATTTTCTTTAAATGAACTCGTAGATTCTTCTTCGTCCGAAAATAATCCTATGCGTGGATCTCCTTTTCGCAATCTTCAAAGGGCCTCACACTAATCATATGTCTAAAAAAATGGCAAACTTCAGTCAAACTGGGTGAAACTGTAATATTTTGTAAATTATGAGATCAAAAAATACAACCACAAAAAATAAACAGATTTTGCTGTACCATAAAAGTTGCTATTTTTTTAATCGGACTCAAAAGTACTAAGCTATTCATTTTTGATAAATGTACTTTCTAAATTCATTGGGGTGAGATTCACTCCAAAAAATTTAGAGAATACCTTAATACTTTTATATGCATAGAATAATTAAATAAATCAATTGGTATAAAAAAAAGCATATAGTTCTTTTTCAAAGAATAATTGCATATTGCAAATTACATAATTTTTTGAAAAGCGACTATGTCTTTTCTTTACATCAATCGAACCATTATTACTCTGTGCAAAAATATTAAGGTACAGTTACTAAAGAAATAAATAGTTCAGTAAATAAAATTACGTTTCAGTCCGATTAGATCCAAAATAGTAAGTTTTAAATGGTGCTACAGTAAAATCTATCCATTTTTTCTGATTGTGCCTGGAGACTTTTGATCAGCACACACATTTCGTAATCTAAAAGAACATCACAGTTTCAGTCAATTTGGTCGAAACTACTTTTTCCATATGATTTGTGCGGAGTTCTAAGATCGTCAAAATAAAAACTGCGCGTCGTAAAATAATTAAAATTCCTTTGGATTAAAAATTAGGTTTTGTGGTATAAAATGCGATTTCGTTATTTACGCGCAGCATAAAAAGACTATTTCGCAAAGGCGTCACCCACTTCTCGTCAGGCTTGCAATAGTAATTCGAAAAAGGTTTTATTGCCCAACTATCTTTATGCACGAAAAAATTCGAGTTATCGGAATAATCCGCGGCTCATAAAAGCGCGAGGAATTTGGAACGCTTTATATATCGTTAATATTTTTGCATCAATTTATGATACCTAAACGCAGCACTGTGCTTTCGCAATACACCATATATTCTCATTCGTTCTGTCTTCATGTATCGCCCATACTGGTAGAGCCAATACAAAGTATCGTATTGTAATTTTCAGAAAAGACATTTTGATAATAATCTTTACGTTCTTCTCTCGAGCTACAATAGAAATTAAGTATTTCTAAGTAGCAAAATAAAATAATACAAAATTTAGGATTGACATTATGATACATTAATATATAAAAAAATACTTTGATTATATTGCTAATGAAATAGCATTTTAAAATGAAAGAAAATACCGAGGACTGCAGTTATACTGTTAGATTTATAATATCAAATGATATCTAATTTGAGTTATTCTTAATTATTCTTGTATCGCCACTGTTTCCTACTGAAAAAAAAGATTGGCTGTTGCAGCAAACTAGATGGTAAAATATTGACAGAGTTTTTAATTTGCTGCAGCAGCCAATTTTTGGTTGCGTGAGGAGCAAGTTTATCTGCAATGTCGGTATAGGATTTCGATAGGCTAACGCAAAAATTGACTGCTGCAGCAAGTTAAAAATGCTGTGCCAAAATCAGCCAATCTTTTCTTTCAGTGTATTCAACATTAATTTAATTAAAATAATAAACAATTTAACTCAAAAAATGTATTAAATTTTACTCAAATTAATTTAATTTATTATATTTAATGCATACGTTTAATGATTTCACTTTCAAACTAATTGATCACAGATATGAATTAATCAGATGTGATTATTTCTTTAACCACATGTTCTTGCATTATATATAATACATTTCGACTTACTTGGAAATTAAAAATAACAAAATGTTATTTAATTCAAGGAAAAATCGGTTTAAATTTGCTCTTTTAATATTTAACAGTATACGATACTTTGTATTCTTCAGCCAACGCTGCGTCGACCAGACAGTACCTACCTTTGAAGGATCAGGTATCCTCTGGAGCCCGAGGCCTTGCACGATGCTCCTCCTGATGATCTCCAGCTCGTCGTCGCCGAGGTTGTTCCTCGGCATCTCTAGCTCTTCCTCTTCGACATCGTCCTCGAGAACTGACGATGATGATGGCGCGGACAGCACCATGTCGCAGAGCAGACTCGTCGCGAGTAGCCCCAGCAGAAGAGTTCGCTGGACGGGACCGATCCACGGCAATCTCCAGCGTGTGTCCGTCTTGGTCCGCCACGCACGTCCACCGGGATCGAGTTTCGCGGGAAATCGCACCGTAGACGACGTGTCCCTTCGGCGTACAATCTCCTCGGCGGGAACGCACGGTTGCTCCTCGCACGAGGATTCGACGATACCGATTTCGATCAGTCTGACGGGACTACCGGTCCGAAGGTTCTCCGTGCTGACATCGCTATCGATCGGTCTTCCGATCTCGCGGACAATTGTCGACGATCCTCCGTTCACTTCGTGGAGCACGATACTTGAAGTGTTGCTGGATAAGGTACGTCCGTTGCATTCGGGGAAATCCGTGGTACCGACGAGCGGAGTCTCGAAAAACCGATCTTCCCTCCCTATCGTAATATCGTTCACTGTACCGCGGAATATCTCCTCACCTCCCGCGATGGACCTGCTGCGAGTCAGCAGGGCACTGTCAGCTCGTCGATTCCGCCGTTCGGCGATAAGGTCGCGGGCTGGTCCACGCCGCGCGAGAAACGTGGCCGCGTCGTTCGAGACGCAACAAGTGTTGTGGCGTTCGTCGTCGGCAGTCCTGACGTTCCAAAGTCCTGCCGAGTCCTCCGTCTCATCGAGAGCGCAGTCCCGCTCTGCACGATCGCCGATAACGTCGATCCTCGACGATCCGTTCGGGCCGAGTCCCTGGCGATCCGTCACTCGGACTACGGAATCGCATTTATTTTCCGCGTGCCATGTATTTCTACGTGGTCGCGCGATCGCGGCCAAAGCGTCCCGACGTCTCCGACGTGCAATGAGATCGCTACGTGCGCTGCTGATCGGCTGCGACGTATCGGCGATCCCCGAGCGTCTTCGAGTGTATTCTTCTCCTCTCGCCGATGCGATAGGGAATCGACGATCGGCGGCAGCGTTATCGGGGATTGCGCCGATTGTCGTGCTGCATCGTGCCTCCGCACCACCGACTACCACCGCCGCCGCCACCGTCACCACCGCCGCCGTCGTCGTCGTCGTCGTCGTTGCTCTCTCTTGGCGCTCCTTCTGGCGGTCCGCGTTGTTGTGAATAATATCACTTCGAGGGATTATTGAGAGCTTGTCCATAGCCAGGGACACAATCTCGTGGCCGGTCTCACGCCGGCTGCTCGAGTATCGGAGTGTGGAGTGCTGCTTTTTAAAGGTTTCGCTGGTTCTCCAATACTATCGATTACTATCGAAGGCTTTGGCTGGATTCTTTTCTTCTTCTTCTTCTTCTTCTTCTTCTTCTTCTTCTTCTTCTTCAGGAGATTCCTGAAGATGAAGCAAACTAACTCCTCAAACTGGAGGTTCCTAAGTCTTCAAGCTCCTAATTTCTTAAACCAAAGCTTCTAATTATTTAAATTGAAGCTGACGCGACCCGCTGAAATGCCTGGTCCTCCGGCGAGCGGACGGATTCTTCGACGAGACAAATAATACTCCTAGATCCGGTTGGTACCGGCTGATTCCGGTTACTTCCGCGTTCACGGCGATCTCACCGCGAGAGTCGTCTTCACGACACGTCCGAGAGTGAGAGGATCTCGTGTCTCGTTGGTACAATCGAGCGACGTCCCCAATCGATCTCTTAGAAGTCCACGCGCGACTTAATTCTCGCGCTCTCTAAGAGCGCGCCGCCGAGGCGAGGATCGAAGCCGGATGTTCAACGGGGAGAAACTTTTTTCACGTTGCGTTTTCTCTTTACGTTCCGGTAAATAGAGTCATCGCGTAAAATCGCCGCGATCGATCGACGAGTTAATTAATCCGTGGTGTGATGTCGAAGAGCGGATCCTTTCGACGATTTCGCTTAGGAGACGAGCTTAAAATACTTGTGTCTTTCTTCCTGG